GTAGGGTGGAATGTCAACAACATATGCATTTGGACCAACTTGCTTTAAAATTTTAAAAGAACCAGCATTACGAGCTTGCAATTTGGAGGCAGGTACATGTAGACGCCGCTCTGGCCTAATGCGGACCATAACGTAATCTCCAATGTTAAACTCAACATGTCGTTTATGCAAATCAGCTTGGAGTTTATATTTTGCATTACTGGCTTCAAGTTGTTTATTGATCTCAATATGCAAATCACGAAGATGTGCAAATACTTCGGCTGACACTGACACCCTAGCCTGTGGGGATATAGGAATGAGATCTAACAGCTTCCTAAATTTATACCCATGAATGGCTTCAAATGGACTCATAACTAGTGAGCGATTCATGGAACTGTTATACACAATTTTAGCTATAGGAAGGATTAAATCCTGATTTCGAAGATTTTCCCGTACCAGACATCGTAACAAATTACCAAAACTACTTCAGTTAGACCGTCAGTCTGAGGGTAATAGGTCGTAGAAAATTTCAATTTGGCACCCATCTTTTGCCACATAGTTCTTCAAAAATAGCTAGTGAAACAAATATCTCTATCAGACACAATGGTCTTAGAAAGCCCATACAATTTGACAATCTCATTAAAGAATAACATGGCAACCTTGGACGCATCCGAGATCTTACTACAGGGGATAAAATAAGTCATTTTCGAGAAACGATCGACAACCACAAAAATAGAATCATGTTTCTTTGGAGTGCATGGAAGTTCTAACACAAAATCCATACTAACATCTTGTCAAGAACAATTGGGGACGGGAAGAGAAGTGTAGAGGCATGTGTTTTGCCTCTTCTGTTTAGCCAATTGACAAGTATTACATGTACTAACAATCGTAGCCACATTTTCTTCAAACTAGACCAATAGAATTGGCGTTCAACCTCCTCTATAGTCTTATCACGCCAATAGAATTGGCGTTCAGTCTTTTTATTTATTTCTCGTCGAACATTACTTCATTTTGGACCTTATTTCATTTTGGTAGACTTTATTCTGTTGTGGATTTTTATTGGGCTTCTATTGACCCAAGCCCATTCTAGTTAGGGTTTTGGTTTACTATTTAAACTTACTTTTCCATGTAATTTCATTAGTTGATAATTGAATAAAAAAATTTGGTGGTTTGTGGCGAAATTTCCCCCCTTTCCCCTTCTTCTTCTTCCCCTATTTTCTTCTTCTTCCATCCCTTACCCTGAATTCTTCTTCCCGATTCATTGATTTTCTCTTCCTCATTAAATTTTCTATTGGTGCTGCATCACTTATATTGCTGAATAGCCAAGAGAGAAAGGCCTAATTTCAATAAATTCACATGTTACATGATGCAATACATTCAAACAACTAAATAATAGATAACAAGTGACCTGCTCATGCGATCCATAAATATGCTATGACTCGTATGGAAAACCTATAATTCTAAATTCCCTAAAATTTCACGTTCCAGGCTATATCCAACCCTCACCACCTGACCTCTTCTGATTGCAATGAAATACATACTGCTATGTTTAGACATTTACACGGCTGAAGGCCCGTTTCACTGTTTCCAAGTCATTTTTTTAATATTCTAATCTCGCTGAACCAAATATCCAAAAGCAGAAAAAATTTCCTTCAGCAAAGCAAACACAAATTTTCAGAAGAATTGAACATTTAACTAGTGTTTCAGTCAAAAAAAGTTATAGCATGGTCACAAAAAGATTTTGATGACTGGACAAATTAATTTAAATCTCTGTTTGTTGACTAATACACCAACATGACATACAAGTATTAAAACATACTTTCCAAAACCTTCCCAAGCCATTTTTTATTCATTTATCTGACATTTTTTCATTCATTTATCTGACAGCACTCCTTTTGGGCCTTATTGCAATTCAAATGGACCTTACTGCAAATTATTTGTGTAATATTCTCCTCATCGCATGTCATCCTGGATTTATTATCTACAATTTTGATCTGAAAAGCCAAATTAATGACTGTGTTGGCTTGTTTCCCTTTAAACGATCTAAGAATTTATATGCTGAACACGAATTTGTTGACTTCAGTTGTAACATAATGTCGATAAATAAATTAACAACGAAAACCAGAATTAATATTTTTCCCACACCTGAGGGTTATTCTTCTATCAACCGAATTTCTTCTTCATAAATTAATTTAAATCTCTGGTTGTTGACTAATACACAAACACACTTTCCAAAACTTTCCCAAGCCAATTTTTTATTCATTTATCTGACATTTTTTCATTCATTTTTCTGACAGCACTCCTTTTGGGCCTTATTGCAATTTAAATGGACCTTACTGCAATTTATTTGTGTAATATTCTCCTCATTGCATGTCATCCTGGATCTATTATCTACAATTTTGATATGAAAAGCCAAATTAATGACTGTGTTGGCTTGTTTCCCTTCAAACATTCGAAGAATTTATATGCTGAACACGAATTTGTTGACTTCAGTTGTAACATAATGTCAATAAATGAATTAACAACGAAAACCAGAATTAATATTTTTCCCATACCTGAGGGTGATTCTTCTATCAACCGAATTTCTTCTTCATCATGATTTTCATCACCCACATCATCATCGATATCAGGCTGCTGACTATCTAAAATCTGCTCCTCAGGGTGAGTATTGATGTCCAAAGCTGTAAAAGAGTGGCACATGTCTGATTAACATCAGATCAACCCATGCCAGCATAAGAATGAGCAGAAGTCTAAGATAATCCAAAAAAGAACAAAATTAAGCATTAACGGAGTGTGAACTCTAGTAAAAACATGATTGATAATTTCAACATATAAAAAAAACTGAAAAGCAGAGTACATGCTCAAATATTGATCTTCGAACCAAAGTTAGCATCAAGTACCAGATCAAGGCTTTGGAACTGGAAATAGAAGTTTATATTTAAATTTAAATTTATTTTTTCTACAAATTCCATTTCCCTGTTTGCAAAAGAAAACTAAAATTCAATTTTCAAGCAAATACATTAACAAAATACAATGACCAAAATCCCTTGCTTCCACTATTTCAGACTTTAATACTTCAATTACTCAGCCATTTCACTTAAATAGCAACCAAGTGGCTTTTTTAACATATGTGTTGCAGCAAAAAGATATAATTAACCACATTTGTCATGTGAACAAGACAAAAATAGTCTGACTACACTGCAGCAATATCTTGAGGACAAAAGTTAATGAATAAATGTTGCCCCTTTCTATTGACTGGAGGAGATAAATAGTTGTATTACAACAAATGTAAACATTCCCTCCCCGCTCTGACTATGATTGACTTGCCCACATAGCAGGCCGGGTGGCTTCCCTTCCCGATTGAAAGCCGTTTTGGTAAAGGGGACGATACAAAGGAGCCTTAAGCTTTTAGGTAAGATGAATAACACTTATGAGCTTTACAACACTTGCTAGGTTTCTTCGCCACCTACTAAATCATCTCTAATTCCAAACAAGCTAAGTTGAGTAACTTCACTTCATTTCTAAGTATTCATTTTACTCAACAGCGTGATGAACTACAGTTACAAAATATTCAAAAATATTTGCTCTCCTTTTCATATCCTACATAGGCCGCAAAACATGTGTCTTATATTCATCATGAAAAAAATAAAATAAAATAATAATAATAATAATAATAATAATAATAATTGAATCAAAATCCGAACATAATCGTCCAGTACCAGTACCTGTACCACATAACTATCCAAAACTATTATGCACATATAAATATACTGTTTGCATACATGTTGATTATAGAATACTCGCTCACCATTTTCCATCTTGGCGACGTCGCCTCTGTGACGCTTGCTCTTGCGTGCCCAGTCGGCGACGGTGTGGCAAACCTGGGACTCAGGTTGGGTCTCGAGTGAATCGGATACTATCTCGATCCGGAGGACCCGGTCCGAGAAGTTGCTGTCGTTGAAGGCGAACGCGAAGTCCGGGTTAGGGGACCTGGTAGGCGACGAATTATCCGAGTCCATCACTGCCGTTCTCGGGTCAAAAAGATCCATTACCGAATCCCTCATACTGATTTCTCTCCTACAATTCCTCTCTCTGTATTGTTTACTGGTTACCACTTGAAGAAATATATAAAGATAAGTTTACAATTGGAATTTTCCTCATTTCTTTCGACTTTCCCTTCTTTTCTTGGAATTTTTTTTTTTATTATTTTTGGGGAATAGGCGTGGGCGTTGGGGGTGGGGGACAAATAAGGTGTTTTACGGAGAAGTGCTATATGTACATAATTATCTATATAATAGTGTTCATAATTACACGTGACACTAGATTCAATCTTTAATTCAATTCTCATACTTGCACATCAACAACCGAATGATTGTCACATCATATTATGGACAACATTATGTGCAATAATTATGTACAAATAGAATTTTCTTTTACTGAAAAGAAGAACGATAAACACATAATAATTATGTACAAATAAAATTTTCTTTTACTGAAAAGAACAATGATAAACAGAAGAAAAGTGCTATGTGTACACTATTACACCCCCTCACATGGAGGGGGTCCACATACAATAAAATATTTGTGAGCCCCCTCCATATGAGGGGGTATAATTCATTGAGTACACCTTATGGTGTACACATAGAATTATCCTAAACAGAATAGGTGAAAAATAGGGAGAATAAAATAGGCTGAAGTGTCAGCAGTTTGTTGGCTCTTTTTTTTTTTTTTTTTTTTTTTTTAAATTTTAAATCATGCATCGACACGTGTGCAACCTTTTTTACCCTATCTCTATAGCATTGCTCGTAGGAAAAATCTTTAGTCGGAGTTTTATGTTTATTTGTTATGCTTATTTCAGATGTTGCCTTTATTTTCACGTGCTTGTGGCTACAAATTACGTACTCTAATCGAACTTAATTCAAAGACCCATTTTTTATGTCACATTGTTCATTATTATTATTATTATTTTTTATTTTTTTTCTTTTTTAACGTCCCTCCTTATTTGAAGGTCATATATAAGCCATGTAAGAGTATGAGCTTTATATGAGCCACGTGCGATTTGCTGGAATCATAAAATGGTTGAGTATGAGGCACTCTAATAGATGAAAGAGTGATTAATAGAAGTTCGTAAGGTCGCATATCCAATTGGCACTGAATTAAATGTTATATCTATTTATTTTTCTCACTCTATAATTCCTTCTTTTTTTTATTTTTTATTTTTATTTGACATTGAATTAAGACCATTCCATAGGATGACTATTGACTACCTTTATTACTAACGATGTCCAAATTGAAATTACGATGGAAGAAAACCGGTAAGGCATCCGTTGAAAACTTGATCATTGAGATTTGAAGGTTTGTGATTATTATTATTGTTGTTGTTGTTGTTATATTACATATGTAATAATGAATCAAATTGAGCGACAAAAAAAAGTTTATGTAATTAATTTTATATTTGTAAAGAATAAAACTTAATTGTTGTACGAGTTATTAATAACAAGTTAAAATGTTTCTCTTTATTAGCATGGGCAAAATTTTAACTAGACACGATTTTTTGTCAAAATGAGCTTTTCTCGCAAAATTTTTTATTAAATATGGTCATTTATTCCTCCAAAATAATTGTAATTGTCTCATAAATTTTTTTTGTAGACAATCTAAACAAAGTCAACAATATTTGAATAGACAAAAAAAACATCTTCACAATGCCTATTTTGGTGATAACGTTTGGGTTGTCGGAAATTCGTGAAAAAACAAAGAGAATCTGTTTTTAAACTTCAAATAGACAAATTGCTCCCGTTGGATTCTGATTTTTTAAGCCAAAAAAATAATTTTTGACCGTTATTTAAGATAGTCAATCGTCATTATTTTTTATCTCTTCACTCATATGTGGGATTCATTTTCAAGCTGTCGGTCAAAAAATTGATTCTCATAACAACACCAAATAGGCTCAAAATCTTATCAATATAGTATAATTTAACGATGCTTAGATGATTAAAAATTCGTGCATACCAATAGAAAGAAGTGGGCATTTTTTCAAAACTTCAAAGAAACACACTACATGTACAAGGACAAGGTCCCTACCAAACAAAAAACAGGTGGAGGTGGGCCCCATAATTAATTTTTTTAATTGAAATACATGTGGGGCCCACCCCCGAAACACTACATCCGTGAAACACTACACATCTACACCTGTACGTGCAGTGTTTTTCAACTTGAAAACAAAGACATTTTTTAGAAGTTCAATAGTAGTTAACAAAATTCATTCTCTCAAAAGTGTGTTGTTTGAACAAGTCAACAAATTTGCTCTAAGTACCTTGTTTAAGCCCCATTTTAAAGGGAGAAAAATGCATTTTTAAATAGTGACCGATGGAGAATGTATGGTAAAAAATTAAGAAAATTTTTTGAGTTTGCGTATAATATTATTTTATTGAAAAATGTGCGATTGAAAATAAGTTTTGAAAAAAATAAATTTTTAGAAGAATGTGGCTCAAATAAGAACTATTAAACTCTATCACGCAATTATTAATGCCAAATTTTATTAGTGAATCTCTTGATAATATCTTAACAACGATTTTACACATAATAATAATAATAAGAGGAAACTATGTGTTAGACATAACTAGAGAAAAATAAGAATAATACAAGACATATATTGTGTTTTGTCCTCATCCACGCAAAATACAATATAATTTTTTATTTTATTTTGTATCATATATTGGCAATCAAACGTATCATTAAAGATTAATCAATTTATAGCGGTTCATTCTTCATTCTCATTGTGAAATAAATGCCATTATAAGATTTTACCTCAATAAAGAAGAAAATAATTGCTATTTTCTCAACCCACGTCTCTCTATTTTTATTTTTTATTTTTTTCTCTACACTGAAGAGAAGAAAATTTGTCATGTAGGGAGAAAATGTTACTCGCCTAATACACGCAAAAAATGAAAATCACCCCTGCCAAACCGTTGTCGGCCGTAGAATTGGTCAATTTCATTCCGTGTCCCTTCCACCACGAAGAAAGTCGAGTATGAGAAAAGTTCCACCATTGGTCTATTTTCTTTGGTGGTTGGCCTAATCCTACTATGAGTAGCAGCCGTGTTGGTCTTCTAAAAGATTATTCCAATTGTTGACATCCTAATTTCACGGCATTCCTCTAGAGAAAAAAACCCGTTCCAATCATTACTCCAAAAAATTAATGTTATTTGCAGTCGCTCACTATCGCAGTCGTCTTACGTGCCATACATATGACGATTAGTGATTTGATGCATTAACGTGATAGTTTTTATTGACTTATATATCAAATCAGTAATCGCTGTATATATGCCATATAGACGACTATGACAGTAAGTGACTGCAAATAACATTACTCTTTCAAAATTAGAATCCAATCCAAGAAAATCCTTGAAGATGTAATCTTTGATGAACCTTCGTGACCTCTATTGTGTGGCAAGCGACTCTTCTTTCCACTTATCATGTGGCTCTAGATCATACTTTTTAAATATTTCGTGGAAAAAATTCGTGTAAACAATATTAATATTATGTACCTATGTTGGGTACTTGTAAATGCCTCAAGTTCAAGTACGTTTGACCCTTATTATTATATACCGTGACCTTTATTGTGTCATTGCTAACGTGAAATATGAATTTTTTTTTTTTTAATTTGAATATTTCTATAAAATTCCGGTATGTGACCTCAAATTCCATTCATATAAGCTCTATTTATCGATGCTATGAACTTTTTGTAAGCAATTTGTGGCCTAATGAATGTTACGTTCAATGAGTTTTGTAATGTGAGTATATCCGCTAAACTTCTGACTTCTCATAACACATAATAGAAAAGAAAAAGACCCAATATATTGAAGGAAAAGTGGCATAAATAAAAATGTAATATATAAATAAAGAGCTGGGTTGACAAGCATTCTGTGAATGCAATATTGAATCCATTGTGAAACAAAACTAAGGAGCTATTTCTAGCTTTGGTTCAAAACAAAAACCAGTAAAAAGCTGAAGGGGAAACCTCTTTGTCACAGGGCATTTCTGTGACCACCTCCATTGCTTCAGGTTCACATCAAAAATTAGTAGTGCAGGGGCCCCATAACTCTGGATAAATACGAGGTCGTCCATTCCACTACTAGCAAAAACCTCATCCAACTCCCCGAAACCTTGAAAGAACCTATGGGGCATTCTGGCTATCTCTTGCCATTCTTTCCCATTCAGAATCCATATTCCAATACCCTTAATGATGCCAGGACGATCCTGTTTCCCAATTCCTCCGACCATTACGAGCTTTTCCTTTAGGTTCATCAAACGGCCACATGTAAGAGAACATGGGACCGGGATGGAACTTGTCATCAGTAATCCACAGGACGATCGGTTTTCTAGGTTATACAAGACCAGAGCATGGCGATTATAGGTACCGCCACCAGTTGAGTATATCAGAAAGTACAAAATTCCATCGCAAATGACGCTCTCGTCACCTGCTCTCCACCCAGTTAGAACCTCTGTCAAAGTTGTCATCCACATCATTGTTTCCGAATTATACACGTGTATTGAGAGATCCCACTGAAAGAAATTTCCCTGAACTTGGTTTGATCTAACAATTGAGACATGATATTTATGAGATACTCTGTTCACCGAGATCGCCAATGCACTATAATCGGAAAATTTTGGACCTGGAGGCTCGACAAGCCTCCTGCAGCATTTGGTTATTGGGTTACAGATGTACAACTCACTTCTGCTATCATTGTCCATTACGCAAACTAACCCAGACGAAGAAGAAACAAACCAATTGGATGTCTGAATGCACGGGAGTTCAATGCCGTACCACTTTTGAAGTACTAAATCATATGCAAAACCAACTGGTTCGTCTGAGCTAGTAAACATAAAGTACCAAGGCTTCTGTGGAAGGTCATGCAGAAAATTCTGAAGAAACCCCTTTGAAGTTACGATCTCGTGCCATCTTTTGCACACACAACCTGCCCTAAAAATGCTTGCAACAGGAAGATGTGATAAAATCCTCTCCAACAGATCATTGGGTATAATTAAATCCATAGAAACTGCAGAAACTTCCATGTCACCTTCATCACTAATCTCAGAGAATGAATGTAACTCGACGGTTTCAGTCACAAAGTTATCAGTCCAATGACCGACCCATGAATTTTCCCTTTCCATAGTCTAAGATTATGAAAACCTTAACAAATGATAATACCAAATAAAATTATTCCGGTCATTGATTAAAAACACGTCTACAATAAACTAACTAGTCTTGTATTAGATAATAAAAGATTCAAAAGCTGCTTACCCAACAAATTATACTTGGCGAAAAAAATAAAACAAAAAGAGTAGGAACGCACATTTCAGTTAATAGCATCACAGTATATCTATCAAGTGATTCAAATCATATTTTTTACAATGTTATCAATGAACTCAACTGCATTGAAGATAAATGTTGTAAAAAGGAAATTAAGAGTATATACTAGTCTACACATACCAACTTCAGAAAGGAAAAAATAAGATGAAGAGAGTATGAATATACATTTCACTTAAATAGCATCACATCGTATCTATATCTGTCTAGTGATTCAAGCAATATCTTTGACAACATTATCACTGAACTGCCCCCAAATTTCCTTCCAAAATGATGGATCAAACTAGATATTTTACAATTGCAATGAAGTATACAATTTCTCACTCATTTTACGATTCGACAAAGTACATTCAAATCTCTTAGATCATATCTATAATGCATAAACGAATGAACAGCAATACAGAAAAGCATACCAAAATGAAAGCTTACCGATACAAGTGAACAAATTTAAATAAGAACAAGCGATAACAAATGTTTTTTTTGTACCCAAGTGCATATTTGGCGCACAATGCTAGACAAGAATGAACATTATAATTAAATAAAATACTAACCGTTTCATCCATGATAATTGCCCAAGACATCCAATTCTCAGTACCAAACATGTTATAAGTGAATTCAAGATAGAAAATATTCAAATCCAAGATATCGTGGGATTATCCAAAGTCAAGGAATAATTTTTGTAGATGGGAGATAAACGAGATTAGTCTAAGCAACTAGTTGTTTGAGCAATGACATTTTGAAATCGAAACCTTGCCTCCCAAGTGCAGATCTCATTCCATTTCTTAGGGGGAAAAAAAAAGTGAAAAACACAACCATTGGTTTCTTTCAGCAAAAGGTTTAAAACATTCAAAGAGATAATATTACCAATTGGGACAGTATAACAACAACGTCACTATACATGCAAATCAATGGATTACAATACTGCAGATGGCCACCCTTGATTTTTATTTATTTTATTTTAAAGAGAGATCAAAACCTAAAATGGAAATCATGGTAGCTTTAACCAAAAAAAAAAAAAAAAAAAGGGTTCCAAGCAGCGGTATATATGAAACACCAAAAATGGAACAAAATAAATAAAAATTTAACCAAAAATAACAGATAAAGTCGTATGCCAAGACATGCACAGATCTTGAGAAACACGAGAAATTTCATAACCATATAAAATAATTCTTGAAATGAAAAGACATAATAACTGTACCTCTGATATAAAAATCTCTCCCTCAGCGACATAAAACAAATGGGCAATCTTCGATTGCTTTAGATTGCTCAACAATTAACAGAAATAGGGTAAAATTATGAAAGTCGATGCTAAAAGAAGGCATCTTTGAGAGCAAAAAATTTCAAGAACGCAGATATGGAATGGATCATAATAAAATTCTTGATCAAGATGAGAGATAAATTAGGTCATCGTTGATTATGGCGATAAAACTGCCTGTACTATTGCAGAATTTTGTGGCAAAGTTCGCTTCCTTCACGCTGAGGGAGAACCCGGGATGGGGTTCGGGGGTATTAAAGTAAAGAAAAGGCAATGGTTGAGACTTGAGATAGGTTGTTTTTTAATTAAAATTTTTGTCAGGTAGCTATAAATAGCAATATCGTGAAAAAGGTGTGGTTATAAAATAAATATTTAACTCGTTATAATGGTCTTAAATGGTCATATTTGTCGATCTAATCCATTTTTAATAATATTAATTAATAGACGAGGGTAAAAGTTGGAGATGTTCTTATCCAAAAAATTCGTATTTCTTTATTTATTCTAAAAGATAATGTTTATAGTTGCAGATGAAACGTAGTGATGAACAAAACAATAAAATAAACTCTTTCGCATGCATCAAGTGGCTCTATTAATTAAACCACACGAAACCTTGCTAAAAGAAGAGGGAAAATTAGCCGACAGTCTAATACTATGTACCTAAAATATAGTTTATGCGTTCTTTGTATCTTTTGCAAGCAATGCACCTAACGATAGATCAAATCCTTAGAAGTGACATTTCAATTTCGTAAGTAGATTAGTTGGACTTAACCACCACGAAACTTGAGGAAAGTTACTTGAATTGTGTTGGGAAAACAAGAAATAAGTCAACCAAATAATTTTCGATGATGTTCGATCGTGATACCCTGCTGCATAAAGTACTATAATTGATTTTTCAATGACAAGTGCCGATCATCGATTGAATCAACCCGTCTGCAAGATTTTAATATTAGATCTTCTCTTGGGTATGAGTGATTTCTATTTTATTATTAAAAAAAAGATGTTGGGACGAAGACAAGTTAATCAATCTTAGAAATATGAGATATATTGTATGTACTGCGCGTTATTGTAGACCAAATTCATTATAAATAAGAGAAACTGATTATTTATTTATTTTTATTTTTTTAAAATTGCCCAGCACTCAAACTTATCCACCATAGGATTTTTAAAATTTATGTAGATTGCATTTGTTGAAATCTACAAAAAGACTGTCAAATGGATAGACTTGCTTCTAACCAATGGACAATTAAGCTTTATATATTATTGTTGTTTAATGGTCACTGTTGTTGTATTTCTTACAATTTAACTTTGTACTTTTTTATTTTTATTCTAAAAGATAATATTTACAATTGTAAATGAAATGTAGTGGCCAATTAAAGAGACCGACAGTATATGAACTCTTCCTTATTGAGAGAGCCGTTCCCTTAATTAATCAGGCAAATTAAGCTTATCTCATTTTTTGTAAGGTGTGTTAAATAGTATCGAACCACATGAAAAAAGGAAAAGAATTTTTTTTTCATTTTTGTCTATTATTTTATTCAATAGAATCTAATACTATCTTTAATCTTTATACATGTAGATATAGCAAAAAATCCCATCAAACTTGATACTTGTGGGACCCCACATCGGAATGGGGGCAAGAATCACCCACTTAATTGAGTATTTGGATCAGGGACAGGGTATAGATAACAAGGGCTCCGCCCCCACCCCGTTTAATTTTTTTCTCTTTTTTTTAAATTCAATCTTTTAAATGAAAAATTTCACGAAATTTCATTAATTCTAATATAAGATGACAATTAATATTATCTAAGGAGTATGATAAAAATAATAACTTTAGATTTCCAAATATATTTCAAAAATTTAGCTTTTATAAATAAATAAATTTATTAAAATATTTAATAACTATGTTATTGTCTCACTTTAATGAATGAGAACAATAAAATGAATTATAAAAAACTTTAAAAAAAAGGGGGCAAGGGCTCCATCCCCACCTCATCGCCCTCCTTACAATTTGCCCTAACTATAGATCAAATCTACCGTACTAATAATTTCAATTTTTGAAGTAGACTAGTCGAACTTATCCATATCGTAATATGTTGGTTAATCGTGACTGTTGTATTAACATTGGATCTGATGGAGTTTCTACACCTTGAAGTCAATGGTGTGCTCAACGTATAACTAGCCGACCTGGGGGTGGCTTCACGCAAGGATAACGGAGGCTCGGACTTGCCCTCAGGCCAATTTCTTTTGTAAGGTTAAACCGCGCTTATTGCTATTGATTCGATGATCGCTATAGGACGTGGTCAACGAGTGAGGCTTTTCCAGGGGATGTTTTCTATTTACATTCTCGTCTCTTAGAAAGAGCGGCTAAACGATCGGACCAGACAGGCGCAAGTAGCTTGATCGCTTTACTCGTCATTGAAACACAAGTCCTTAACCCTTCTCCCTCTTACTAAGACTGAAGAATGTTCTTGTAAATTATGGCTAATGCTACAAAAAAATCGTACCTGATAGATTTTGAATTGAATGCTTGAACTCCAAACTTGAATGAACATGAACGGTCTTCTGGTATTTGAAACAAAGGTAACGGGGTGTGTTCTCGTCGTCCCTCTGATACTTAAGTCAGACAAAGAATTTAGTGTGTACGGCTATGAATTGGATGTAATGAAAACGTACATGAAGAACAAGCCTGGGTAATATATTTATAGGTGTTGGTGGTTGGGTCTCGGTAGGATTTAAACACCTACAATCCTCATCCTCATTGTATAAGGTATTTGTGTTATAGTAGAAGTGTTATAAGCCAACGAATGTGTTTAAAGAGTACTTGGAACTGTAGTTTGAGTAGAATTAGTACTTCCCCAGGTTGTTGGAAAGGATAGAACTGAGGGACCTTTAACCCCGATGACAGAACCCCGACCTTAGATTTGAGTGTTTTGGGGGAGGTTAAGGTCGGGTTTATTGGGGTCGAGTTCGGGCTTAAGGATTTTGGGAACATCAATGGCCAATACCGAGTATATAAGCAGTGATTTCAAATCCAGAGGTTAATCATACTTTGGGGAATTTTTATTTCCATATCCCAGAGATTAGAAAGTATAGACCTGAAAACTCATCCGCCCGATCTTGTGGCTAGGCAATGAGGCATGCAGCAATCGGAGGGGGCCTCATTTTTATTTTATTTTAAATGAAGTAAAAGGAAAAAGGAAAATTCCATTCATTTCTCTCCTTCGGCTTCGGTTTTTCCTACGACTGGCCACTGTTCCTCGCCTCCAACAACTCCAACTGGACGACGACCAAGCGATGGCCTCATTTCCTTAGGTGGCTTCTCTTCCTCCTCCTCTTATGCTTGAGTGGAAGATTTTCCCTTTTAATTTTTAATTGTTCTGAATCTGATTTGAGGATGAGAAAAATTATGGTATTTTAATTAACACGGGATTGAGACTTGAGAGATTGGCAAATTTAGGTGCCAGAGAGTTTTTCTTTTTCATCCTTTTGATAATCTTTTGGCTGGACATTATAAGTGCTAGCTGGATTAGCCTATTAGGTACTGATCACCAATGGTTGGGAGTTAAATATTTCAACTATTGCTAGTCTTTGTCTCGTGCGTTGCACGATTATTCTATTTATTATGTTACTATTAGTGTGGAATGTGTAGAATTTATATTATCTAAAAATTGTCAATACTGGTGCAACTCTTTATCTATAGGATAATAATCATCGGAGTGCATGATATTGAAACTCGGAAGTCAGAACAATAATTTGATTTTAGCATCAACACTACTATGAATGTTCATATTAATTTATAAATGTTTTCATGGTACATCTATATGATAATGTTTTTCTTCAAGAACTTCCAAAGGTTTACCACCTTACCAATAACATCAATGCTGTGGCATAATTTTCTACTCATCTTGAATGAAATGTGCAATAAAATTCTTCGACAAAAACTATTTGGAGAAGCTAATTCATGGTAATACAAGGATAATCATAGGGTTTTCCCTGTTGCGCGTGGTTTGGATCCTTAATTTTTTGTTCCTATTGCGCGTAGTTTGGATCCTTAATTCTTATTTCTAAAGTTTCATATGATCTTAAATGAATTTAAGAAAATTTTGAAACCCAACATCACTCATTTTCACAAGCACTTCAAAGCCACATGGATAGTGACGTAAAAAAAAGGTCAGACATGGTGATTTAAAGCTACTAATAATTTTTATTTTTTTTAAATGTCAATACGAGAGAAAGACCTAATCTAATCAAAATTCAAAATATTCAATGAATGTTATTTTGGCTAAGATTGGAAATTAACACTTGAAATTGAAAAAGCAAAAAAAAATAATAATAATAAATTGCATTTTATCTAGCTTTTGAAAGTTGGAATCTATGTGATATTTGATTATAATCTATTTAATGTTACATTCGTAAGATAAAAATTGCAATGTATGTTATTCGAATTTTTTGGCATATGCCGTATGACTATGAATCATTTGAGATATCTATTGACTTTAAGTAGTTTTTTTTTTTTTGTATTTTACATTATATTGTATGATATTTGATTTGATTTTATATAAATATTTATTAAAATTAGTGGCAAAGAAAGATGAAGGCCGATGGGGTCAACGAGGAATTTGATATATTCATATTTGTAAAAGAGATTTCGTGCATGGTCACCTCCATTGCGATATTTCTCCATTTTCATACACTACTTTATTTTATCCAATCCAACTGATAAAGAAAAGAAATTGAATGATTTAACAAATTTTAAAAAAAATTACATGCAAAAATAAAAAGAAACAAAAAAAAGTTATTATACACTTTTTAAATTAAATTGAAATAATTAAAAGTAAAAATAAATATTATTTAACTAAAATTGAAAAAATTGTAAAATAAAAAGAATTAAAAAAATTTAAATCGAAAAAAGTATTTATAATATGAAGAAAAAAGAATTTTTTTAAAAATTTAAATATATATATATAAAAACAAAAATAATTAAAGTTATAAAAATTAAATAAAAAAATATAAATATTTTTTAGTTAAAATTTAAAAAATTAAGTTTTATTATAAAAAAAATCAAAAAGAATTTGTTTCAACCCAAAAAAATTATTTACCAAAAAACAAATTGAAAAAAAAAATGAGATGGAGAGAATTCTCCATCCCACTATGTGTGGAGGTGGACACATTATGGAATGAGAGAAATATCTCCATAAACGGAGGGATTTCTCTATGTGCAGAAAGGGATTTCTCTCCGTGCAAGTAGGGAATTTTTATTTTCCTTTTTTTCTTTTCATTTTG